TGCCAGGCATGGGTGGGATGTGCTTCTGCCTGCTCTCCCTCAGACCCCTCATATCCAACTCATGGCCCCTGGTCCACATAGAGGCTCTCTCGGGGCATAGCTCTGTGAGGAAAATGGTGGTGGCCGTACGTGTGCATCAGCGTCCCTCTTTTCTGCCAGACCTCTTGGCTGACGCTCCATTGCTGGGATTCAGGAGGAGGGGAGGGCATAAAATGGAGGGTGACCCTGATTGTGTGGGGCAGGGAAGAGGCAGCCAGGGGAGCGGAACACAATTTCCCCAGCCACACCTGCTGTCCTGTGGAGATTTAACCTGGGACATAGTCTTTAGTGGGGAATCCCTCTTTCAGTGGCTACTGGGGGCTCAAGCAGAGAACCTCTAGACAGATGGCTTGGGCTCAAGACGCTTTGTGGGGCAACCCAGCAGCTCCTTCTGTGGGGGGCAGGCCCCTAACCAACCAACATGGGAGAAATCTCAGAGTTTTGCTTCCCCTTAGCCTCCTCCCATGGGTTTTACCAAGGGAAGGGGTAATCTGGGCTCCTGCACCAGGGCTCCGGTGATGGCTAATTAGCTGAAGCTCAGCCCTGACAGGACAGAAGTACTGCCTGTAAGTTGGGGGAAGCAACTAGAAGTATTGGCAGTGATTATGGCTGTGGCCAACTGTAACTGGGAGGTGGCCACTCAGAGAGGGACCCTCCCTCCTGGAATTCGCCTCCCCTTTTGGCTTGACTGACCACAAGGCTGCTGACCTTCAGGGTACACTGCAAAGGTTGCTGGTAGTCCAGTGGAGGAGATGCAGATGGGTTCACAGGGGGTTAACCTTTCAGAAGGTAGCACTGGGCTGTGTGACTCAGGCAGCATCTCATCTTTTATGGGTTTCTCTTTGTGATATCTGGGCTGGCTTTGTCACACAAGCTCCAAGTGCAGAGAGAGACATTTTAAACATCTTTCCGGATGGCTGCAGGGCCCTTTTCCAGTGTCAGTGCCTGGGTATCTATGTGCGTGCAAGATTATTCACCACACACATCTTCCATTAACATCTCTGTGCCTAGGAGAGTGCTTTTGGAGGTGAGGGAACAAGAGAAAGGGCATCAAAGAGGTTACACACCTGGGTGAAGAGGTCTGCACTCAGACCACTGCTCACACTCCTCCAAAAAAACAGTGAAAGAGAAAAATAACCAGTACATAATTCTAGAGCCTTAGGTCTGCACCAGTCCCACAGGAGTGTCACTTACACAGGGCTCAAGCTCCTAGTGCTGTATATGGTACAGCCAGCTTAGGCTCAAGCATTTCTCCTGGCTTAGAGAAACACTAGGGCTCTTGAGTTACCAGCCTGAGAACTGAAAAGCAGGTTAAGAGGCAAACAGAGAATTATTGGAATGGTTTTCTGGCTGGGTTTCTCGCACAATGTTGTGAATGGGGAGAAAACAAAAAACAGTCAGAGCCTGAGCCTGTTGACGTCAATGGGAGCAGGTTCAGACACTTAATATATCAGGAAAATTACGCCATGAAAAATGTAAAGCATTAGCTTAGAACCTCTAGGTCAGTCAGAGACTTATTAGGTCAGCTTGTTGGTCCCCAGTCACATTAGCTGGGCCAATTCTTGACTGCTTATGCTGCAGGTCCAATTGATTTCTAGCCTGTGTGATTTTAGAAACGGAGTACATTAATTATAGTTGTACTATGAGAAATAACTGTAAATGTGGTTCTGCGTGGCTCCATGGTTACTGTCTCTAAATGGATTTAATATCTAATGTATCCAGTTCACACGTAACAAGGTTTTTGTTTTGTTTTTAAAACATCCATGCAAATTTAGCTTGGAATCCAATAGTTTAGCAGGGGTTTTTCCTCCTCATGCATCATTATCACCAGGAAAAGAAGTTCTGCAGCCCGTATGAGGCCCCAGTGACACTGTGCAATGCCATAGTTTCCAGTGGATTGTTACAGGTGTCACTGAGCGGAATTTAGTTAGCAACTCTGTTGATGAATGAGCAAGAAGAGAATCCAGCTTCCTCTCCCATGGCTATATGGACTCCAGCAGCACTAAGAGGAGCAAAAGCATTAATATTTATTTTTGTCACTGAATACACACAGGGAGTGAATCTGGTGACATTTTTATCACTTTTTGGAGTAGAACTGCACGTTAAGACATAGGAGCTAATTCTGTTCTCATTTACACTGGCATCAATTTGCAGTAAATCAGTGGAAATTCTCTGGATTTTCCTTTGCGTAACTGTGGTGGGGCAGTCACCCCACTCCGAGAAAAGGTCTGAAACAGGCCTTTTGAGGATGCACAGACCGGCAGCCAATCAATAAAGGCATGTGGAGGGCCAATCAGGGGAAGGAAGAGGCAGCCAGTCAGGGCTGGATGAGGCCCTATATAAAGGCAGCCTAGCAGAGAAGAAGGCAGTCTCTCCCTGACTAGTTTCAGAGTAACAGCCGTGTTAGTCTGTATTCAGAAAAAGAAAAGGAGTACTTGTGGCACCTTAGAGACTAACCAATTTGAGCATGAGCTTTCGTGAGCTACAGCTCACTTCATCGGATGCATACCGTGGAAACTGCAGAAGACATTATATACACACAGAGACCATGAAACAATACCCCGCAGGACAGTGGGATGGGAGGAGGTATTGTTTCATGGTCTCTGTGTGTATATAATGTCTTCTGCAGTTTCCACGGTATGTATCCGATGAAGTGAGCTGTAGCTCACGAAAGCTCATGCTCAAATAAATTGGTTAGTCTCTAAGGTGCCACAAGTACTCCTTTTCTCTCCCTGACTAGTGAGGGAGAAGGACAGGCTCCTGAAGCAAGGAGCTAGCACCTTGGACAGGGCAGGCTTGGGGGAGCAGGAGAGGGCTCCAGCCCTGTTACCTGCCAGGCTGCAGACCCTGCTACAAAGGGCTGAGAAGGTGCACAGGACCATAGGGGAAGTGGCCTAGGGAAGAATAGGCGGACAAGAGGGGAATGAAGGAGGGCAGAAAGAGGCTACCACTAGAGGGTCCCTGAGTTGGGACCCAGAGTAGCAGGTAGGCCTGGGTCCCCCCCTTATACTGGCCATGGAAGATGGTGGCCAGTACAGACTGCAACTTGCCCCTGAGCTAAGGGGCTAGACTTTGGGTTGTGGTTAGCCACTGAGGCAGGTGTGAGTCCCAAAGACTGCTGTTAACAAACCTCCCCTGCCCCAGAAAGGGGTGAGTCTGGAGTAGTGGGCACTGCCGGAGGGCAGTGTCCTGAAGCGGACGCCGCTGAATGGGGAGCAACGCGGGTCCCAAGGCAGCAGAGCAGACGATGGGCAAGACACCATATGCTGAGGATGCCCTACAACAGACAGAGCTAAGTCCTGGAACCACCACCGGGAGGCGCCAGTGGTGGGGAGTCTTGACCCCGTCACAGTAACTAAAATCTGAATTAAAAAGAAATGTGCAGTATACCAATACTTGTGGGTATGTACAGAGCTCTGATGGGTATGGTGCCCTGATGCCTTCCATCCTGCCTTAAGTGCAGAATCTAAACTTTCATTAAAAAAAAGTAAGGTCTTGTCCTCACTCACAGGTTAGAGCGCATCAAATCAGCCCCGGGCGCCATAACTCCTGAGGTGTCCACACTGGCAAGGCACTTAGATCGCCTGGACTCCGTGGCTGGCACGCGTCTGGTAATCCACCTCCATAAGAAGCATAAAGCTTGCTGCGTCCGGGCTGTAGTGCCGGTGTGTCCGTGCGGATGAGGTGTTGCATTACTGGGCTGTGATTGGCCTCTGGAAACATCCCATAATCCCCTGGGCATTGCTTTGAACTCTGCTGCAGGCATGCGGCTATCCCCTTTCAAAGCTCCGTTTCTGACAGCCCGCATGCTTATCTGCTCCTGGACACAAAGCAAACCATTACTATGGAATGCTCTGGCTGCAGATGCAGGTGTGTGTGAGAGGCGAGGGGTGGGGGCTGATGTTGGGTTTCCCTCTTTCCCCTGCCGCTGGCTGAACTTACAAGATAGCATGCTGACACACTGTCCCCCAAAACACACTGTCTCTCCCCCCCACATTTGAAAAGCAGCTGGCAATCTAGTAGGATGCCCATGGAACAATGGGACTGGGAAACCTACATCATGGGATGCTGTACCTGCCCCATTAGGCATTGCAAACCCTTCCCAAAACACGCTGCAGCCGCTTGTACACTGGGACAGTGACCGCAATGCACGGCTCTCTGTGGCATTGCAAGAGCCGCTCATGGGGACATGCTCCACGGTCACAAGGAGCACAGTGTGAACACACAGCAGCGCTTTCCCTGGTGCTGTCTCCGAGGCCTGGTTTAACTCCCGGCACTCTACATCTGCAAGTGTAGACATAGCCTATGTTTCTAGTGGTTGATCGCTGAGATCACCTCAAACGTGACCTGACTCAGTGTAACTGATGCGGTGACATTTGTCTTTGTTTGCAGATCTGAAATGGTACCTGAGGTGTGGACGACTCCATTCATCTCAATGGCTGCTGACTCAAGACACCCAGTGATAACACTTTAAATGTCAGCATTGTTAAGAATTTCACTGCTCATCCCCGCAGGTAAGAAAGGAGAGAGATTATGACTTTCTGTACAATCTATTGCGAGTTCCAGCTCCTTTTGGCACTACCAGTGAGTAAGGTTGGAAGATTCCACCATTTTTCACCTCCTCCAATCAAGAAGCCAAGCCTCAGGAGCATAGCAGAGCCCCAAGGGGCATTTAGGCCCCCACAAGCAGCCAAGTTCCAGTAGCTTAGGGCAGATGAGCCTCACAAAGAGGAAGTCAAGCCTCAAAAAAAAAAAGGGAGGGGGGATTTGGGAGAGCTGAGCACAAGGCACTCAGAACATGATCACATCTGCACAGCTATGGTGAGGGGCATTTCATGTGGACAGAACTTCTTTTGTAGGTGGAGCCGCTCTCCTTCTCTTCTCTCCCCCCTCCCCACCCCATGAGCCCTGGCTATATAAAGGCAGTACAAAATTTAAAAGTGAACACACTAAGAGCAGAGTTTTCTTCCAAAAAATAACATTTATTGTTTTGGTTGTAAATATAAAATTGCATTGCACATTTAACAGAGCTGCATGACAAATGCTGCATATCAGTAGCGCAGCAGATGTTGTGTCCTACAATAGAACAGAAAACCTTATACAACAAGGCCAAAGCAAGAGCACATCTGAAGCCCGTGTTCTTCCGAGTGTTTATGTAACAAAAAAATCAAATCCATTCATTTAAAAAAATACCTGTAGCAAATTTTTATGGCAGCACAGGAAGCACTTTGTCCAATGTATCATTAAAGAGGAGGAGGAGGAGGAGGATTGCTTCGGGCGCTCACTTACTTTGTCTTAACATTTTATTCATGCGTATGAGCTGTGCTTTAAGTTCAGAATAAAAACAATTCCAACAGCCATGAGACCATTATATTAAAATGCCTTGGTATGTTGCTTTGTAACCATACCGGGTTTTACATATCTGTCCAAAACCTACCTGTGTGCTTGCAGTCTTGCAATGCAAAACAGCATGACACCTGTTTAATAAAGAAGAAAAACGGAGAGCCGGTGCCCCAATCAAAGTCAATGGGAACAGGGCTGAGGGAGGAAGGGACCTTGCTGCAGAAAACTGTTATGAAACACATGCACCCACATAGTAGACAAAAATTACTGGAGGCAAGCAATGGGCAGGCCAAATCCTGCAGTCGTTACCCCACCAAATATCTTACTCAAGTCAGAAGAAGTTAAGGGCACTCGGCAACTTGCCGATTGGGCCCCTAAGACTACGTGATTTAGTGGCAACAGTACTTTGATCATTTTACTTTATCTTGGTGTATAATCAAAAGTAGAAGCAGGCACTGGAAATAAAGTGTAGATAACACCAGACAAATTATTCAGAACTGTCCTGATACTGAATAGTCAATTCCCCGCCCCCCCCCAAGTAGCTTTCAACTGGCACCAGCAGGTCAATAATTAACCATCCCAAGAATAGGCAGAAAAGATGGAACTGCTTCCCAGTAATCTGAACTACAAAAGCTTCATGCTGCTGACTGTTTCTGCTATTACCCAGAAATGCCACTGTCACTAAATATTATAACTGCTCTCAAACCGCTGCCTGATCTCACAGAGGCTTTTGGTTTTAAAACCAAACACACGTACTGGAACGTCAAACTCTGGGGCTGTAAACTAAATGGATTCACTCAAGCTGGCAAGACGCTGCTTAGCAGTGTGACCTCGCTGGTCTTTGCCTTTTCAAGCACTTACAGATGCACAGAGATCTAGCAGAAAGCTGGTGCCTGGAGACTCTGGGGTATTACTGGACTTTTTTTGTGCACATTTCCCACAATCAAGTAATTTTCACAGTCCCATATTCTAAGGGTCATATCATCCCCTGGTCAGAAGGGCACACAGAGGGCCCAGGAAGCTCCAATATATTCAGGATTTTCAACAGATCATCCTGTTGGGAGGAGGGGATGGCTGAACTGAGACGCACCAAACCTGTAGTACCCTAATAAGGCCTGGTCTGCACTTACAAATTAGATCAACCTTGGTACGTTGCTCAGGGCTGTGAAGAATTTTGCGCCCTGTGTGACGTAGTTAGGTTGACCTAACTCCCAGTACAGACATAGGTAGGTTGATGGGAGAATTCTTCCATCGACTTAGCTACGGGCTCTCAGAAAGGTGGATTAGCCACAGTGACTGGAAAACCCCCTTCCCTCAATGTAGGAAACGTCTACATGAGTGCCTGCAGTGCAGACATTGCCTCAGCTCTGTGAGAAAATCTCCAGGAGCTTGGGGCACTCACAGAGCGCAGGAATAGCCACACGCAGACTCAGCACATCTACGCTTGTCCACACAGCTCCCTTCCAGCAGCTGATAGAGAGAGTCTCCCTGCAGGGGGTATTTCTCTAGGGGACCGGAAAGCCATGGCAGAGCCTGCCAATAGACCCAGTATTATCTCCCACAAAGAAATCCCAACAGTTCTGTGAGGGGATCGTGCTGCCAAGAGTATCTCTTGTCCCCATCCCTGCGGTGCTCTTGCTCCCTCAACCTCAGCTAGTTTCTGTTTTTTTCTGCCCATGACTGTGCTGTTGGCAGGAAGCATAAGGCCCTAAGAGAACTACAGTAGCTGATGTGTTGGGTTACAGAGATGTACAGAGTTTAAGGGTGGAAGGGACCATTAGATCATCTATTACAGTGGTTCTCAAACTTTGAAAATCCAAGGACCCCCAAATCACCTGCTCAGTCCCAAACCCTGCCTGCACTCACCCCTGACCCTCCTCTTCCCTGCCTCTTTCTGCCCCCTCCCTGTGCAGCCTGTCCCACTCTTCCCCCTCCCTCCCAGTGCCTCCTGCACACTGGGGAACAGTTCCCTGATGTGCAGGAGGTGCTGGGAGGAGTTGATCAGCAGGGCCCGTGGACCCCAGTTTGAGAAATGCTGATCTAGAACATCACAGGCCATTATTTCACCCAGATACCCCTGTATTGAGCCCAATGATTTGGGTCTGAGTAAAGCATAACTTGTGTTTGGCTTTTAGGGAAGCTAAAAATGAATCTGAGCACTACAGATTCTTTGGGAACCAATCTACAACATGAAGCCACTGAAGGCAAGGTAGACCGTAGGTGTCACCTGAAATTCTCTGTAAACTGCAACAGATAGTGGGGACTGGTTGAGAGCCTGCATCTGTTTGTTGCCACACAGAACTGAATTGGAACTCGTTAAACTGAGGCAGAGTGTGACTGCTCTGGGCAGAAATCATCTTTTTGAAAGATGTGTTATTTAAACCCCTTAGCTGGTGAGCAGAAATAGAATACAAAGTTCAAGCTTATAGCAGAGATTTACACCGCAATTCATATAAATTGGGTCAATCTTTTTTCATAACAGTATTTTGCGATCTAAAGAAAAGCTCTGTAGAAATACTAACTGCTTTACAAAAGATGAAGTATCATCCCCATTTTACAGAGGAAGAAACTGAGGCAGACGTAAGTGACTAGGCCCACAGCAAAACAGCGGCAGAGCCAGGAATTAAACCAAGGTCTGTAAACTCCCAGTCCAGTTTTCAGTGCCCCCAATAAGCACTGTCACGATAAAACCTGTAGTCTGAAATAAACAAACGAGAGTTCAGATTTACAGAAATTAGGTGGCAAAGGGTTCTCAGAATTATAAACCTCCACTAAGGGACAAGATCTTATTGTTCAAGTCTCCAAGCGTCATGGGTATTTGTTCAACTCAAAAGATTTAGGAAAGCAGATGATTTCTGGTAAATGCCAGACAGAATGAAAAGTCTGTATTCTTTTTTCTTCTCCCTTGTACACTTTTCCCCTTCCTCACTGCCAAAGTCAGCAATTTTTAATAAAAAAAAAAAAACGATAAAGTGCTGCCGATCTTTGCACAGCAAGCAGAACAGTTTTGTGTCCGTTTCCCCTGCAACTAACGATACACACCCTATCTGTCCCATTTTAATCTATTCAGCTATGCAGTGAGACTCGATGGTTTTTAGCAAACTTCTAGATAAAAAAAGTGGTAACCTGATAACTTTAAGCAGCTCAGTCACAATATCCTTTCATGTTCCTTCAGGCTACCAATGCAGTCAATGCGAGTCCTTCTATTGATTTCAATGGGAGTTGGGACTGAACGCTTTAGGGTCTGATCCAAAGCTCCTGGAAGTCAGCAGAAAGACTTCCACTGACTTCAATGAGCTTTCTAACAGGCTCTTAGTACATCTTGCGTATTGAGGGAAAGATTGATTATGATCACACCTCACATTGTCTTCAATGCAATTACTCCCAATTTACACTGGGATGAGGTAAGAACTAGGCACAATATCTACCATGCAGACTGGAGACAACTTCACCTGATACATATTTTAACATGCAAATATATATATATCAATAAGGTAGGTGTGTAAATGAGGAAGTTGGGGGGGAACCCAGCTAATCACTGTGTCAGATTTTGTTAGAAGTTCAAGATCATTGATAAAATGAAGGCTGAATATAGGCATCGATAGAAAAGATCTTACATTTATATAGCACCATTTATTCAGATGGATACCAAACAATATTGCTTATTTTACTAATAGATTGTACTGCATATCTAGGCCTGAGTATATATGTAGAAAAGCCACTTCACCGCTTACCAACCACCTCTGTGTACTATTTCAATAAAGTCTAGGCCTACATTTTCAAAGGGCCTTCAACTACTATCCCTACAGCTGTGACTGAAGTTTTTCTACAGCTGCAAAAATCTCAGAGATGTGTGTGTGAAGTTTAGGTATATAAATGCATAGCAAAATGTCTCTTGATTTGCATGCACAAATGCCATTTCCACCATAACTGATGTTCGGCATATGCAAAAACTCAGCTGTGAAAAGTTGAGAATGCAAAAACTCAGGACAGGGAAATCCTGCAGTTTGTTTCACAGGTAACTTTTGAAAGCCTGACCCTCCAAATGGAAAGTTATATGGCAGAGAAAGCGAAGAGTTGCTTCCTAATGTAAAATCCCTGAATATATTTTAGAATGTGTAATATCAAATTATTTTCAGTCTGCTCTCTAACTAAACACTGTCAGCGTACTAGACCTGCCCATCTCAATGCAGCTTGCTTGTGAAACTGGAAGGAAAGGTACCAAGGGAAGATATCAGGTGGCTTTACCTGGATTGTTAACATGGTTCCTAATAACTTCTCTCTAGAAAATAGTGGAATTGTCAGGGTTATTAATAAGTTGTGCTGAGTTTAATGATTTATTTTTCTGCCATGAAAACTGACCTGAGAGTTTGGTAAACTTCTGGGATCTCAAATTTTGAACGAGATACAAAATACAGTCAATGGCCTGAAGGCTCAATTCTTTTGCAGATGAAGTTAATTCATGCAGTGGAACAAAAAAACAAACAAAAACGCTCAGACGTGTAATCACATTATTGGAGTTACCCTCACTGTGAAAGCAGACACTGCTAGGCATTTCTCTAGCTGTGCACAGTACAGCTCTCCGCTTAGGTGGTTATATGCTAGTAGCTAAGCAACAAATCACTTAGTTTTTCACAGTGCATTGGAAAGCAGGAGCTCAGATACCAGAGTGATGAGTGCTGCATCAGAACCTCAACAGAAGACTTAAGCTTTACATCGTGCCTCTACTTTCAGGTCAAGGGGGTTGGCTATCAAGGATCATGTTTTTAGTAGACTTCATTACAGCGATGCAGCAGAGTAACTTGTTACCCACAAGCCAAACCCTGTCCCCAGCACACAGGCTGAGAGCAACACTGGTGGGCAAGGTGCTGTGCAAAGGCACTGGCAAGGAACAAACCCCAAAGCTGGGAAGGCTTGAAGCGTAAATTTTCTGCTCCAGCTTTGCTCCAACCAAAGAGAGTCAGTTTTGCAGACTCTCCATGACATGAGCTATGGAGAAGGCACTGCAAGAGAAGGCCTACAAATCATGGGTCAAGAGTCTCCAGGTTTATGCCCATACTCCTCCTAATTCGCCAATAGCACATACATACACCCTGCCCCACTTAGATTAATCCTAATGTGGACAGGAACAATCTGCATGAGGTACTGTTGGCCAGAAGTTGCTAGCACTATGGTGACGAACACATTGCTAGTGAACAGTGAAGCTCAGACCCATCTATAGTTATGTCAGTCGCTTACTGTGCCAGTCACAGTGAATAAAATCACATTTCAGATATCAAACAAGCTGTGTTCTAAGTTTTATGTTGGATGCAAGCCTCCTCTTAAAGATTGACAACCGTGACCTAAATCTTTCAAGAGTTTAGGACTTAGGGCAGGGATACTGAAGCAGGGGAAACAGGCAAAGAAGATACAGGAGCGAGGGATAGCTTATGAGTACATATGGATTGATCTAATTTCTGTGACAACATAAATGCTAACTTCCTAGCATTACAAACTCTCTAAAGCATTACAGCATCATCTGTGCACATGTATTATGATGGAGAGTTCAACTCTGCAGCATGTAAGAAAAAATAGTTTACAGTTTAAGCCTGTATGGAAATTCATGTCTATATTTACAAGTAAAAAATTCACACAAATTAAAGAAATTGTTCTCTTGTACTTGCCAAACTGTCCTGCTATGCACTTGTACTGCCTAAATCAGGAAAAAAAAAGTTCTACGAAAACATCTGCTACTTTATTTGCTAGGAAATAAAGCATACCCACCAAATGATCACATACAAATAATATACTGAACTAAAATAAAGATACATACACAACCTGAGATTTTAATTCTAGTATTTTACCATGATTTTGTATCTTTGATTAACTTTTTTCTCCTTTGGTTATTAATATGCTGATCATTCTTTTTATCAACTTTTTTACTGTTCAAGTAACACAACAAAGAAATTGAGCTGCAGGTAATAAAATGAAAAAGCACAGTACCTTTCATGAAATCAGATGTGCATTTCCCTTTAACAAATTGTTCCTAGGTGTAGTGAATTTACACCTTGTTTAGTACTTAAAGTCATTTTATGCAAAGATGTTCACTGTGTATTTATTCATGCTTCATTGATGGAGATTTTTTTTATTGCTGAATGCAGGACCCTAGCCTACTTATGTATCTGAGGTTGGCATTCTCACTTAACTGAACCTAACAGGTACTGAAGAGGAAGCCAAGCATTAGACAATGTTGCATTGTATCTCTACATGTTCAGAAGCCAGTGGCAAAATGCCCTGAACAATGTCCTACATGATAGAGAGAATCCTTTCTAAAGTGCACGAACTGTAAGGAGACTCATAAGTCTGTGAGGCTCGGACGTTCTTCACGTCTTGTATAGGTAACTCATCATTTGTGGTTGTTAGGTTTCCCCAGCTGTTTTGTTGATCTTACAAACTGCCTCAGTGGCTTGCTCTGGCAGGCGTGATGGATCTGACAGAATCGAGGTGGTTATACTGAGATGCCGAAGGGTGTTCAGCACCACTGGAATAAAGGGCCAGAAAAGAATCAAGGAGAACAATTAGTCTGATTGCAAACAGATTCACGTAGTACACAGTGAAGTTACAGCAGGGATAAATGATCTATTATAGATTCATAGATACTAAGGTCAGAAGGGACTATTATGATCATCAAGTTCGACCTCCTGCACAACGCAGGTCACAGAATCTCACCCACCCACTCCTGCAAAAAACCTCTCACTTATGTCTGAGCTATTGAAGTCCTCAAATCGTGGTTTAAAGACTTCAAGGAGCAGAGAATCCTCCAGCAAGTACAGATACACGGATATTCGTGCAGTACACACGGAGCCTCAACAATGCAACGTCAAAGACATTGAAGCGCAATGACTTTGCTGGAAGGACAATGTTTACAAAGTGGAGATCTAGTATTTTGACTGCACTTTTCAACAAAATCCCAACTTGTTCCAATATAGACTGTATATTTTGCAGTATTAACCACAGATATGAACTTGCTGCTTCATAATGGAGGAGGATTGAGAAACTGGCATCAGCTTCAATCACCCCCAAACTTCACAGGCATTTGAAAGCTAAGCACAAATTCAAACATCTTCTATCTTCATTACAAGACAAACCACTCTCCTGACCCCATGCCATCTCAAGAGCGTTTGAAATCTGGATTAAAATGTTGTGGCTTGAATCTATATTTAATTTCTGGTCTCTACAAACAAAAGTTAAATTATTTTCTCTCCTTGGTGCTAACAAGAAATGCTCAAAGTGAATTTCACTGGCAGCAACAACAGTTCTTAATTTTCCATTGCAACAATGCAAGAGGGTTGAAAAAACCCACATCTTATATCATGCCTTCCTTCCCTTTCCCATGCTGAATTTCCAAGAGGAAACTGTATGGTAACAACTATTATAGTATTAAATTACCACTGGTTAGAACTCTACTTACTTGGCCTCAGAACAGGGAGCGAACAATGCTGATCCAGCCAAGCCATTGCGGTCTGGTTCAGATCCTCTAAACTAGTCGTAGACACCATTCCATTGAAGGACTCAAACAGTGGCTTAATGATAATACTAAACTGCAAATCATTGAGGGTTAAGGGGAAAAAAAGAGGAGCACAGAGCATCTTAATAAAAAAACAACCACCATTAATAGTTCAACGTAAGTGGGAAACAGAAGGCATCTAAATGGACTTCAACCAGCAAAGGGACACTAACATTTAAAGAAACATTTCTCCCTGGGATATTAAAATAAAACAACAACATCTAATGTCAGTGCTCTTCACCTATGTTGTTTGTCTACTTTAGTAATTCATTCTCTATGAACAGTGAAATTAGACTCATCAATTTACGGACACTTTCAATGCTTGGTCCCCATGCACTAGCATCATGCTGTAGAATTTGGATTGCAAATAACAAAGGAACATTTAAAAGAAATCACGAAAAATGTTTCTAGTCCTAGTAGTTTGTGTCCCTCCTTTTTATTATACTATTATAAAAAGATGCAGCTAGCCCTAGACACAGCCTATGAAACCGTGGGACATTCCACTCTGGGGGACACCTCTTCTGATCAGAATCCTTTGGCAACCAGTGCTAACAGCAGCAAGCTACAGACATGCTTTAGGGATTCCTCCCATTAACTTCTCTAACCTGAAGGATGGGCACTGTGATGGCTACAACCTTACTAGAAAAGGAGGCCTGGACAGGATTCTCACATTGTAATGAGCTAAAAGATATTGAGCAACATAGGATCATTCTCTCCTGCTCGCAGAAGGCTGCATCCTTTAAAGCACAATTTAGCCTCCGCTGGCCCCATGTAGCAGTGACTGGGAGCAGATATCAAATCAGGGTCTCCTATATCACAGCTGAAATGTTCACTACCCTTGACCTACAAAGCAATTTGTTATGATGATGTTTGAATAATTCTAGAACAAAAACAACCTGCCCCCAACTAAATCAAAACTTAAAATCAAACCAGCTCGTGAAATATGTACCCACGGAACTTATCCAGGGCTTTAAAGATAGTTCAGTTCTATGATCAATGGGCCTGACAATCTACCACTATCTTTAGATCTTCTGATAACAGTAAAAAAAAAAAAATTCCAATTCCATCAAAGCGTGGAAGTATGGCATAAACAAGTCTCAACATTGTAATATGCTCCTGGGTACCCTCCAACACTAATGGCCAAGATCAATCTAATTATTTCCTGTTATGTTTAAAGGGACTGCCTGCGCTTACATCCCCTTGTAAAATGACTGGAAAAGTAATGTAACAGGCTATTCTTCAGCTATCTCTCCCAGCCCAAGATCAGCTTACTCATCTCCCTCCTTTACGTAGCAGAAACTATTAAGGGATTTTCAGATTTATGTTATGAACCTCCTTCACTGCTTTACAGTCATTTTACCATGGTGAAAACAGTTTTCATTCGTCATCATGATGGCTGACTATGGGCACAGATAGCCTCCTAAGCTTTCACTGGACAGTATTCTGGAAAATGTCACTGTGTCCTGAGAATAAAACCCAATTGCTAAAAAGGAACTTGGAGGCATAACCAGCTGTGAGAGGTGGTTTGCTGAGAGTATTATTCACTCCCTTCAAGGTCCCTGCTGCAAACTGCCTAAAACAATAGCTCTGATAAACGTAAACTGTCCAGTTCATCTCAGTGAGGCATTAACTCTGAAACCTCATGATGCCAATTTAGATCCCCACAACCATTTTACTGCTGAACATTTAGGAGAAATATCCAGCTATCCCAAATTGCCTCCCATATCTTCCTGAGTGCAAAAAGTTCCAATTGCCTCCTACTGAGCTGCCAAAACTCCCAGCTTCCTCCCTGACAACTTTTATAATGCCCTTAAGCCTTTTTAAAACCAAATTCTGCAGGAGTTGAACATTTTGGAGGAGTATAAAATATAATAACCAATTAAGCAACACATGGGATATTGTCCTTAGTTGATCAATAATTTTCACAGTTAAATCAATTGCAAAGAACTATTTTTCTACTTTCTCTGAAGCTGATCCAGTGTGAGGTACATACTAGAATGCTGCAAAATCCTTGGGCCTTTCCCACAGATGCTAGGTCAAACTTGCTGTGTAGAGCACAGGGGAGTCTTCCCCAAAAGCGTTGCACAATCTGACTAAGGGACAGAATCCTTTAAATACTGGTGAATATAAACCAAAATAATATCTTAGCTTTCTCTTAAAGTGTCTGCAACTCAACGTAGCAGCCAGTGCAGGAGAACCAGAAAGAGAAACTGACCAGTCTGGTTCACTGTACAGTACGAGTGCAGGGCAAAAAGAAAACCACATAAATGGTGAAAAGCACATGTGATTTTATTAAAATTAAATTTTAATAATCTCAGTAGTTATCAGTAAGGAATTGATTATTTAAATATCACCTATCTTAACAGTGGCCTTTTCTAAAAAATGAACACACGAGCTATAACCTCAGGGACAGTATTCACTAAACTTTAACAGGTTTTAAACCATAATAACGAATAGTAATAATACTTTGCACTCCTACAGCACCTTCCTTCCAAACCTCTTGAAAAGCTTTACATACATTAATGGATTTATACCTCAATACCCTGTGAAGCAGGGAAATATTATTCGCATTTTACAGATGAGAAAATGGAGGAACAGAGTTACTTAAGTGACTGGCTAAAAGGCACAGCATCAGTTATTGGCAGAGCTGAGATTAGAATCTAGTGTTCCTAACTCTCAGTCCTATTCTCTAGTCACAAGCCTATAGGGATTTAGTGCTTTTTTGATACAAATTCAATGTACAGTAGCACAGTGAAAGGATACAATCCAGAACTTCCAGTTCTGGAGGGTCCTGTTTCTCATGTACTCATCAAACATACTCCGCATGTGATCAAATCTCTGTCGTGTTATGGGAACCCCAGTAGCAGGGAGCTGCTGTTGACAAGAACTGAAGAAAAAGGCCAGAATCAAAATCTCTCTGCAAAAAGGAGATATTTCTCTTGCAAACCAAACACTAATACAGGACAAGCACTAAACATCAGTACCATAGGACTGATGCTGCCTATTAGGAGGTAATCCACTAAAATGAAGAGGACAAACCTCATTCATTAATGTGTATTGTATAACACTGTTTTCCTATCAGTTTTGTCCATATCCATTTAGCAAAGCGAATTTTCAAGCTGCTAAGCTTTTATTATTACAAATAATAGTGCTAAAAGCAAAGTAAAACATCTAACAATGTAATTTTGAGGGCCCACTTAGAAAGGAATAAAAACTCTAAAACTAGCAGTCAGATAAGAAAAACACTAATATTTTCTTCAAATTCCCAAGATTTTAGGACACAGCCCAAATTAAAGGATTAATTTAAAATCAACTAAATGGAGTTTATCAACTCCTACAAATATAATTTATTGTTTTCCTCAAAACCCTAATTACATAACAGAACACTTAACAAGTCTGTAGATGAAAAGCACTACAGACCACAAAATGCTTTAAAATTGGGTAATGATAGCTACCTTCCACTGTATAGCTGGGGAAACTGAGGCACAGAACTATTAAAGTGACTTTCCCAAGGTCACACGGGAAGTCAGTCGCAGAGCCAGGAAGATATCCCTGCACACTGACTCTCAATCCTGTGCTCTATTCACTGGACATTATTTCTTCCAATAATGAAAGATTGCATATAAAAGGACATAAGGGACATGATTTCTGATCAACCGTACAATACAGCTTTGAACACAATGCTCCCTGACCACTTCTCAGAAGTGGGCCATTTTTGGTGCTACCACCATATGCACCAATACTCAGAGCCCACTGAAGGTCAACACAGAAGCCTACTGACGCTCATCCTATTGTGACTTTGCTTTTTCATTGGGATCCACGGATTTTTTTCTCCTCTTCAATGCCCCGCTGCCATTTACGCTAATATTTGGTGCAGACACCCAATGTTATTACCCAAAGAAATGCTCCCCATGCTCTGGTCATTATGGAAAAAAGGTAACAATACCCCCCAAAACCTCACATGATAGCAGTGTTTAGCTCCTCAATCTCCTCCCGAAGGCGCCTGGTTTCCTCTTGTGACTGCATTCTCTCCTGCTGTAGTTTAGCGATATATTCCACAGTCTTCTGGAGCGTGATTGCGTGGCTGATCTGTACCGAAGACAAACACAAAGTTGACTTTCTGGAGTTGATCTAAACAGCCTAAGAGTTTGACCCAAACCAAATATAGCACCTACAGAAGCATTTCTGCCCCTTTATCACATTCCTTATCCACCCTGGTAAGGCACTTTGGGATTGGCAGATGAAAAGTGCTACAGAAGAGCAATTAACCAGTTAGGTATTTATCCTGACTCTTATTAGCACTGGAAAAGTGAAAGATGCATGTGTGGCAACTTGCCTTCTCTTCCCCAGATTGGATTTTGACTACTTTCTCAATGGAAATGTTTAAACTGTTTGTTAACCACTTTCCCCCTTAACAAGTATTCATAATTATATATGGGGTGTGTGATGTCTTCTTTGATATGTTTCACATGTTACTAAAAGTTGTATGTTAAAGAGATAATTTAGAACATTTGATTCTAAAGGGTTTGGCGTTTTCTCATTATCCGTAAACAGATGGGAGTGTGGTCTAGCGGTTATTAAAGGGGCCAAACAGCATTACTGACTTCTATTCTAGGATCTGCCTCTGTGTGCACCTTTGACAGGATAGCAATAAATAAGATCTACAATTATTATAATCCATTAAAATTGTTTCAATAAATAAAATAAGATGTTATATCGGTGAGCCCCCCTCACTTTGACTCAAATCAATCCATCCTGGGCTTTAAGCAGGTCACAATCTTTCTGTGCTACAGTTTACCTATCTGTCAAATTTGTACATGACCTGCCTCGTAGTGGTGTTGTGAAGATTAAGGAATGTTTGTAAAATACTCTTGAGATGGCAGAGGAAAGGAACCATATACACTAAGCTCAAAGCATTATCATGCTGTACCTATGATCAAGTATCTGTTACTGGAGCTCCAGGAGCAAAGAGGACTGCACTGCCCAGTTTCCTTTCTTTCCCCCTTGGGTCCTAAAGCTGAAGCTCATGGTCAAACAAGACTCCCTGTAATTTTGAGAATGGTACCAGTGGTAAACTTATGAGAACAAGAGCTGGCACGTACTCTGCTACCTGACCAGTAACAATAGATTTTCTTCTACCCATCCTGGGAATCCTCACCTAAACTCTTATGTCACAGATGCGTCAAGTAACTTCACTTTGATGTGTACTTCACATTCTCCAGTGAAACAAGTGATGTTCAGGTTTATTAACAACCCTTTTCAGAATGAGTGATGGTTTCTGTAACTTCTTTTGCATGTTAAAAATGCACAGCACTCATGGACAACTTACTGACTTAGAGTTAGCTGATACCAGGCTGTTCAGGGTGCTAAAACCAATCTTGATATTAAATCTTCTCTTTTGTTCTGCTGAAATATGCTTCATCCTTCGATTCTACATAAACAAATAAAATTAACTCATCAATCTATGCTGGTTTCTCCACCACTGCCCTATGGTCATTTTTGCTATTAAAATCTATACAATTTTATCTTTTGCTGAATTAAAAGTTACCAGGGTATCCACAGCGTTCCTAATAATGCGGCAAAATATCATAGTGATATTAATTACTTGCACATGGCAATTTAAACACTTTCAGAAGGGCCCACTGTACTAAATGCAAACCAAAACTGGTTTAATAGGGTTTTCTTCTTAGTTTTATGCACACTTCTATTAGTTTTAAGTTTCATGAGGTTTAAAAATACCCCCTAAAATTCTGACAGTGTCTCTTTACATCCTTAGACCTTTAAAATTACCTGCAAATTATGGACCTGACCCACCATTCCTAGTGCAGCAAAAACTCCCACTGAAGTCGGTGGACTTTATGAGTGTGAAAGGAACCTAAACTGGGCCCTAACATTTGGTATACAACCTTTGGCACATACGGATGCTTTAAATCATTGTTTGGCTTATGTGCTACCATACATTTCTAAAGCTATCAAACATCTTTTTCCACCAGAACCCTGAAAAAGCGCTAATCAGATTTAGCCCTTTTATAGTGCTTTACAGAAGATGGGTAACTGTCATTAGCCTCCTTTTACAGAGGGGAAAAATGAGGAAGAACAAGTTTGTGTGATGTAGGCGTCCACTCAACGAGTTGGTGGCAGATTCTGGAACGGAACCTAGATTTCCTGACTCGCAATCCAATGCCCTACCCACTGACATGCTCCTGTACTGTAATCTAAGCAGTTTTGCTCAGCAAGACCATCACCTTAAGTTTCGAGAACAACGACATTCCAAAAAGAGTAAAGAATGGAACGCTAAAGGTGGGCAAACATCAAAGCGCCTGTAACAATCACTGATCCTTTGCCTGCTTACCAACATATTGGGACTTAAAACATTTAAAATACAAAGCATTCAGAGTCACCAATATTTATGTCAAAATGGCTAAAAAATTTGATTCACTGTAGGTTTGTTTTCCCAAGGACACCACATTATCTCGTGACTGCCTACTTCTAAACAAAGAAACGGAGTTGATAGCCTTCTTGGGTCTGTTGTGGTTTTCATTGTGTTTCTTGTATAATCAAGGAAAAATTCTATGAAGGCCAACTAGTGTGAGTGATACAGCCAAGGCCTCTAGCAGTCTGATTTAACAACTGGCATTTCTATAGTGGCTCTCACTCCAAAGTAAATCCACGCTACAACTTGGAATGGAGCTTGTAAGGTTATTTATATGGATGGCTCAAAACATGTGTTCTTACACCACATGCCTAGGACTCTCTTAGTAACCATTGCAGCTCAGTGTTTTGCCATTCCAGGGCTAGACTGGCAAGTGGCTCTCTTCTGCAACTGGGTCAGTGCATTCTTTTTGCTCTGCAGACAGGAACCCCTATCCATGTGCAACTGGTATGGCCAGTTCTCCATCCTTCAGCTGTGTGTGTGGAAGGACATCCTTGAGGGTATATGCAGCTCCTGCCATTCCAGGTGCATGCCCTCCAGAAATTCTATCCCTTGTTGATGTGTTAAATAGCATGGCAGATACAGATGCACAAAATGGGAGTGACGGCAGAAAAGCAGCCGGAGCAGAAACTGAACTGTGTAACTGTAACTGGTTAAGGTGACCGTGACACTGTTTACAAACTCAAGGTTAGAAACCATAGTGTGGACACAGCCTTACAGCGAACTTGGTTATAATGATACTCCTTGTGCAGGTGAGGGCTTTCAATGGGCTTTTCACTGCAACAGATTTCACTGTGCTAATCTTCTTGGAATGCAGTAGTTATCCTACCGGCTAGGTGTTGGCTGCTGTATTTTAAGGAGAGCAGAGGAGGATGAGGAGAAGAGAAGATGCCACTGTCCCCTGGATGGATTGATGAAGGGTGAGAAAAGTTCCTAACTCCAACTCATGCTACAGCTGTTGCAAGGAGAGAAGGGGAGACAGGCCAGCCAGGAAATATCTGCCCTTTAGTAGGGGCAAGGAGAGGTCTTTGTAGAGGATTTTTTTTTTTTAAACCAGGCTGGCCCCATCCTGTTAGAGTGAAACTCCATCCACAGTGACTTTTCTGTGTGGAAGAACACCCTCCACTATATATAGATAATTTATACAGTAGGGAACACTTCCCCAAGTGACATGCAGCCACCCCCTCAGAGGAAAATGTCAGCTCTTTAATAGCACACAGCAAGAGTACCACTTTCTGCTTAGGAAGAGTGGTGAAGACACCATGTCAAAATGAATCTTTGAGGGGAATGTCAGAGAGTCTTAATCTAAAATTATCCCAATATGAATTCACCCAGGTCATTAAGGCTAACACCCCAACAGTGGCATATGTATCACTGTGTTTGTAAAAGGAGAGGAGATTTGACAGACAGGAAGTCAGCTGGAGTTCTGTTTCCGCTAAATTGACCTGTTGTTTAATCATCATTAAACTTCATTGAGCTCCAGAGTATTCAGTCTTGCACTTTCTTCAGGTTTTGGAAAAGGACCAAATAGGGCAATCGCCAGGGGCTATCAGAAAGTACCAGACACCGCCAGGCGAAATCATCCCAACAAACAGCACTGAAGATCAAGAGCCCCCAAAACTGAGCAGCTGGAAGAGCTCCCAACAGAACAGCAATAATCTGGATGAAAAACCACATGCACAGACAAACTAAAATGGCTTAGAAGTCTAAGGCTAAAACCAGCTGAATACAGATCTACCAGTTAAAACCTAGATCTGTCGTAAGGGTTATATGAACTACAGTATCAAATACTGTCATGGCTGATAATGAGAAACAGAAATACAGCCTCCTTGGACATGTTGGATGACAAATCACTGCTGAGCAGGGCAAGATCAGTACCATTACCAAAGCCTGAAGCCATAATGAAATGTTTAAAGTGAAATACAGCAACACAAATGTAATGCAAGCTCAGCCACAACCACACATGCAACCTCATTTATCAAGTGACTTACAGTCTAAATTAGGAAATCAATAAGCTACAAAGACAAATAAGGAAGAAAAAACTCAAAAGGAGGGAACATGTACCTTAAATGCAGCCATCTGAGGGTTAGCTGTGGATTTTCCTGAGCAATTATTCTGTGGAGACTGAGGACTGGGGCTTTGTTCAGACGGGCAGGGAGAGGCCTGTCCTGAATTCTGACAATCTCGGCCTTCAAAAAGAAAATGTCAGATCATTAAAACAAATAGCTCTCTCTAACAAACTGAACTGTCAAGCAGCAGTTTCTACCCACATCATTTAATCTAGCCACTGACTGCACTTCTAGAGCATCCAGTGCTGTAATATCTAGATTCTAGTAGGATGATCAGATGGCTAGGAAATCCAAATATTTCACAAGCAATGGCTAAATGCCTTGTGGCGACATGTTCTCTCCACTTCAGGCAAATGTATGTTAGGGTGTCTGGGACCTAAACTGACTATCCTACCTTGACCTACTTGCACGGTGACCTTCCAGGTTCCTAAAGCAGGAAGCAAAATATTTAAATAATTTCTTACTATCCCATGAAAATGGACACATACCTCAGAAGTAGAGCACAAGGGAAGAGGCCAGGGACACGTACTGTTGCAGGGAACCCTTGGCAAGGTGTGAGGCTAAACTGTGCTTAGACATCCTCTAATGAAAGCTGCTGTAGAAGTGGTGCAAAGTACTAGAATTATATTTATTATATTAAATGACAAACTTGTATAGCATTTTATGGAGTACTGAAATGCAACCACTTCTGGAGTGGACTACTGCAGCTTACCAGTGCACAGACACTAATCAAAAGCTTAGGGCAAGAACTGAAGACTATTATAGACAACTGAAAGTGTAGGAAATGGGGCTCACAAGCTATTTCTACAAAGAATTCCCCAGGATATGTAATAACCACAGCTGGCCAAGATCTGTTTTACATCCCCCTTAAAGGTGGATGCATATGGGGGAGAGTCAGAGAGTTTAGGTCTCTAACTTACTAGGTGTAGGTGAGGGAACTTGTGAACAGGTACTGTGGGAAGGGATTTGCTCTCCTTTCACATCTTGGACTGCACTAGGAGAGAAGCGATGCGAGACTGTGGACTGGACTTGCTGGTTATTCGGAGCTTGCTGTGCTTGACCAACCAAAATGTTATTATGGAATTCCATCACCCCGGGAGCCTAGAAACAGCACAGGAACATTATAGAAAGAAATACACAAAGGATTCTATTATTTTGTCTTTCAATGGGAATGTATAATGTTAAATTAGTACATAACTATCTGGTGACAGGAACCCCCCAAACTAGTGCTAATTATGGACAATCAAGCACAAAAGTCAGACTTCTGGCAAGAGTCACACATTTTTTCATAATTCAATGCACTATTAGAGTATGTTAGCAGCAGTGAAAAAGCAATTTCCTCTTATTATACCAGGGTACACTTAAATTCTCTCTCCCATGCACTCAAACATATTGGACAAACACACTGGCATACTCAAGACAAACTTCTCAACTGACAACTGGAAAATCAAGCTGGATTCTTTCTGGCTCTTTCATCATCATCACTTATGGGCCTATCATAGAGGTGGATTGGTGAGGTTCTGTGGCATGCAATGTGCAGGAAGTCAGACTATATGATGATGATGGTCCATTCTCGACTGAAAGTCTATGAGTCAAAAAACCCTCTGCAACTGGTGTCTGTTATGAATTCTGTTGAATATGAAGAAACCAGTTCACTCTCCTGAAGCTGTGCAGATTATATAGTGCTAAGAGCCACACAATGTAGATTTCAGAGTAACAGCCGTGTTAGTCTGTATTCGCAAAAAGAAAAGGAGTACTTGTGGCACCTTAGAGACTAACCAATTTATAAATCAAACATTAACAGATAACTCTGAGTACGCCAACAGATCTGTTGAGTAATGAGGGGGCATCTATACCTAGTCACTTTTTGAAGCATGAACACTTTAACGCTCTAACAACATGCAAACTCCAATCCAAATATCTTTTTTCTTTTCCTTACTCTGGCAATTCCAGCTGGTGCAATTACAACACTAGGTGGAGACATGGCTGGAGTCAAAATCCCCTCTCTTTTTAAAGGTGCTGGGGTTACGATCACAGCTCTGGACTGTCCCTGAAAGGCAGCTGAAGAATACAACTGAAGTTAGAATAGTTATTGACACAAAAGATCTGGAGAATGTTATATAGGGAACAAACTAGTGTTGATTGGGAGGATGGACTAAATGGGACCGAACAGGTATCTTCTGTACAACTTTGCCAAATCATATTTATTCTAAGTTCTCTCAAAGATCAAGCTGCAACACAAACTGCCACTGCTAGGTGGCTCCAGGATACAAAAAGGGCTTATAACAGCTTCAGATACCACACAGTATACAGATCTCTGAGTTGTCTATGGATCAAGTGTTTTATAACTGATGTAAGTGCACCTTGAGGCTGTGACAGGTGTACTTTGCAACCTAATTTAGAGACACAGTTGATGTTGAGCCCATGAACAATGAAGCCATTCATTGTCCAACCAGAGGTGCAAATCCCATGGGTAACAAAGGGGCACATCTTAGCCCCAGCATACGAAGGCAGATACATGCTCTTGCTGAGAAAGGACCTAGAACACATTTCACTAGGTCAGTAGTGCATTTCTTGGCTGTTGAAGGCACATGGACTCTTGCTTTTTAATTCATTAGGTGCACATAGGAATGGCTTAGAAACACACCTAGTAGTGTCTTAATGCTATTAATCATGGATCAAGCTATTTCAAGTGACATGTCTTTGGGCTAGGATCTGGGATGCAGCAGACTTGAGGATGTTAATTGGGGTTTCTGGTGAGCTGCCACAGCATCATGCCCATGGCAGGCAGACACACAAACTCTCTTGCTTTTCAGTAATTTCCATTTCACAATAATCCTTCAGGCTGTGTGTTTCTGGGGGATTGGCTATAGCAGTGGTTCTCAACAAGGGATCTGGGGCCCGCTAGGGGGCCACAAGCAGGTTTCAGGGGTTCTGTCAAGCAGGACCAGCATTAGACTCGCTGAGGTCCAGGGCAGAAAGCCGAAGTCCCCTGCATGGGGCTGAAGCCGAAGGGTGAGCAAAGTAGCTTTGCGGGAGCCCCTGTGGCATGGGCCCCTGGGCAACTGCCCTGCTTGCTACCCACTAACATGTGCCCTGGCTTTGATATGTAGAAAATCAGTTGTCATGGTACAGGTGGGGTCTTATTAGCATGTTGGGTGGCGGGGGTGGCTCAGAAAGGAAAAGGTTGAGAACCTCTGTGCTAAGCGTATTTTGGATGAGTGAAGTCACTTGGGTCCTCAGCCAGGTGATTTTAGCACATCCCTGAAGGCAGTGTATAATAATCCCAAGAAGTGAACATGCTGCCTGTTCTGTGTTATCATGGAGACTGTGTAGCCCCTTGGCAGCTGTTCCTTATGAGAAGTTCAGAGCGCTCTCGTTTTCCTCACGCTTGCTGCTCTCAGACATCTGCAGCAGATGGTGGGTTGGACAGCACTGAAAGCTCAAATGTCGTAGACACCCACAGTCAGATTCTAAGTGGATTTTAATCTCTCTGTTACATCTTCATGACCATGAACCAACAATATTTCTCCATATCATTTGCATTCAGAGCAAATGGGCCAACGTAGGGACATTTTAGAAACTGCCTCTGAAAAAAGCTCAAATCCTGAGGGGTCTCTGGCTTCTGCTGTCTTTAGAGTGTTAACATGGTCCTGAAAACAGACACCGCTTGACTGAATCTCTAAGAGCCCCAAGCTAGGCAGCTTGAGGCCAAGGCACACAAATCCTAAAACTTTATTTCTTAGGGTCCCGTGTCACTGAAATGTCTTCCTCCTCGCTACGCCAGGCCTGCTCATAAGCATTAACATTCATGGGGTAAGTCTACACTTACAGTGGTTTGTAGACTACAGACACGTTACGCCCAGTTAGAACTGGGCATAATGTGTCTGTAGTCTGATACGGGACCCTAAGAAATAAAGTTTTAGGATTTGTGTCCCTGAAAAAGGTAGATGGTGAGGCACAGCTTAGGCAAGTATCACAGAGTGCCTGAACCTGTGGGTATATATTCTACACGGCTCTCTGCACACCCAAGCAGTGCCTCTCACATCTACACTTCTATTTTTAGTGAAAGACTCTGGCAGCAGTGAAAGGTTCTGGCAAGGGGGAGACAGAGAGGAAAGGCTCCAGCAGCTCCCCACTGCCAGAGACTTTCACTGCCTCATGTAGCTACACACACTGCAGTGAGCAGGGACGCAGCCTGCTTTTCACCCTTTGTGCAGCAGCCAGTGTAGACAAGGTCACGAAAACAGAGGAACAGCCCCATTTGATCAGAGAGTTTGGTCAGTTTAGTCAGGTATATCCCTTTGAAAACAGCCAATACCTGAATTGACACTCTGCACCTGTCTAGCGCCATTCAGCTGAGGATCTCCAAGAGCTCTGAGCACCTCAGCATCAACTGAGGTAGGTAAAATAGCCTCATGTTACAGAAGGAGTCACTGAAGCAAAGAGGGGTGAAATGACTTTCTAAAGGCAACCACCAAGGACTCAGTGGCAGAGCCAGGAACAGAAGCCAAGACCTCCTGATTCCCAGTCCTATGCAAACTCCAATGGTCCATGCTGCCTCCCTTATAACCAGATTAAAATTCAGGGCTGTGGGAAAAGCCTGTTTTTTTTGTCGCCGTCCTGAATGTTTATTTGGAAAGCGGATTCTGAGAAGGCAGTGCTAGTAACAATAAATATCCTCCCCATCAAGATTTCTAGGTACTTCCAGTGACAACCAGTGTGCTGCAGATGAGCATATTTTTGTTAAAGTTATTTTGCACCTACAACAGCAACTGTGCCCCGCCCTCAGGTTACTCCCTCCCAGCAGAAGAAGGAGGAACACCCGTGACTCTCACCTGGGGCGATGAAGGCATTTTTTAATACTAAGGACACTGTTTCAGGCTTTGGAACAGGCACTATTTTTTGTGGCTGTTTGGGTCTTGTCCCAGCATTTGCCAGGGGAATGGCTTTCGGGAGTGCAAACGTCAGGTGGGGTTGCAGCTGAGGCCGGGGCTGCCCCTGCACGACAGCAGTCTGTAGAGTCAGGTTACAAGGCACGCCTCCCCCTGGCTGCTGTGTTGCCAGGATGAGGTTCTGGCTCTGGCTGAAGGTGGTAGCAGAGGCGTTGTGGGTCTGGGTGGCAGAAGCCGTGTGGGTAACAATGGAAGATTTGCAGAGGCCAGACTTTTGGGTTTCTGGAGCAGTAAAAGCAGGCGGCTGAGAATTCAAGCCGGCATTCAGAGGCACCGTGGGCAAAGCGGCTTGTTGTGGTGGGACAGTGGGCTGCAGCAGCGACACTGGAGCTGGGAACACCGGAAGAAATGGCTGCTGGGCACTTAGAGATGAACTGGAATTGAAGTCTGATGGCTGGATGAAAGAGCCCCCACTCCGAATGTTGGAACATTGGTTAGCACCAACATCAGGAATGACAGGAGCAGGTACTGATGAGGCAATCAATCCTTCACTGAGGCTCACCGTTGGGAGTGGGCTGGGTAAAGAACCTGAGGGCAGGACAGAAGACTAGCAGGAGGGAAAAAAAAAAAAAAGTACAGATTAATGCTTGACATTGGAGATGGGCCAGCACCAGAAGCTTTTATCTGACCTTTCTTTACACTCAATTGTGAAAGGGGAGAACGAGGCTTATATCTGAATCACCCCTGGTTATGCTAAGCCAAAGCCTTCCACATCAAGAACTAAACAGGTACAACTACCTCTAGTTTTGCCCATTTCTCCTTGGCTCAGGTAAAGAAGGTAAAGATAAAGGAGGTAAAGATCTTCCAGGGGGTTGAGATCCACAGCTCTTCAGAGGAAGGAAATCACCAATATGATTGTTTTACAGATAAGAAAACTGAGGTACACAGAGGTTAAGTGACTGGACCCAGGCCCCACAGCTAGTCAATGACACAGCTGGAAACAAAACCCAGCAGTTAAGTCTCCCAGTTCGCAGGTCTACCTGCTAGTCCACACTCCCTCCCGGTACATAGGATTCTTTATAGCAAGGCCAACTACATTCAGAGACAGCATTATTTCACTCGAAGGACAAAACACTTTCTCTACAAAAACTAGTATTTTAAAGTACAAAGAAAATTCTGTTCTGAACTGGACACTGTGAAGGACAAAGGTATTTAAGTCACAACAGTGCAAGTATAGTACATGTACCAGTTATTTTTACTTCTAGGTTATCGTAATAATTTCTTTTATTGGTAAATCAGAGGAAAATATACTGTATTAACCAAGTATTGTAAGTGTTTATTCAATTCTATTTACATGAGCTTGTCTGATACTGCATATTAGTACGTGAAGATCTGTATAGTACTTACAAATTTGAGCTCTGGCAAATTTTCACTACATAAAACCTGTTTACCTGGGAAGAATGGCTGCTGGTATCTGTCATAGCAGAACTGGCAGCAGGGAGAGAAGTGAAAAAGTTGCCAGAGCGACTGGATGAGAACAGATCTGAAAGAATGTGAAAACAAATATTAAATGTTTTACTCCCTATATTATGGTAGCACTATATTTACTCCCTATATTATGGTAGCACTAAGTAATGGGAGACTCACTGAGAATTAGCAAGTAAATAAATAATTAAAAAATAAGGAAATTGCGTCACCACAAAATGTACTCTGCTTATTTACAAACACAAAGATGTTTGCCCGTCTTATTGAGATTTATGAACTCTTTGGGAAATGGATTATTTTTCAGCTATGCTTGTAAAATGCCATGCAAATTTAGTGGATTTGAGTGAATTTCAGCCCTGCGCAGAGGACCAGCACAAAGCCCAGGCACCATTTGAGTCCCACTTAAACTCTATTTTCTATTTTAAACTCTATTCTAGAGTAAATAGTGAAAAAGTAATGGAGGTCTCAGTAACATGAGACTTTGCATTGGTTATTAAATTGTTACGAAGAAATGGGGAAACCACAGAGACTGTATGAGTGAACAATGGGGTGTGAGGAGTAGGGAGACACCAATTAGCATCGTTCTCCTGTAAGGTCCTCCGCTGACACCTGATGTTCTCCCATACAATCAATAGGTAAAGTTTCAAAAGCCACTTGTATGTAAACCAGGTTCTCTGAAAGCTGTGTTCTTCTAAGTCTAATCTTAAGACACATAGACTCTTACAAGTGAATTTCAAAACCCAGCCAGGCAAAGAACTGGTCTCGCAACAGTAAGAGGATCTCGCTACAGTATTTTTTTAAATTTTTTTAATTGGATTTCAAATACTTTTGAATTTGGGCTCCATTTTCATGCTGTATAAAGAGGATAAATATGTTGGTTTGCATAGTTTATTTTTCTGTTCAAAACCCATTACCGCTATAGCAGAAATTGGTGCTATACCACTAATAAAGACAGTAAACTCATTTTTTCCCTTATTCTTACCCTGAAAAGATTCAAAAGTATCCATGAAATCTAGGTTTGGCTGGAGGGGGATAAGTCCTGGCTGAATCATGTCAGCATTTCCTAAGTGTGCTGGAAAAACCAAAAGAGAGACTGGTTAATTTTGCAGCATACATGCCACTTCAGTTTATTACAATGTAGATATGGGTTGCTCAAAGAAAGCCTGGCACTTTGCTGGAACATAAGAACACAAGAATGGCCCTATTGGGTCCAGACCAAAGGTCCATCTAGCCCAGTATCCTGTCTTCCAACAGTGGCCAGGTGCCCCAGAGGGAATGAACGAAACAGGTAATCAAGTGATCCATCCCGTCACTCATTCCCAGCTTCTGGCAAACAGAGGCTAAGTACACCATTCCTGCCCATCCTAACAGCCATTGATGGACCTATCCTCCATGAATTTATCTAGTTCTTTTTTGTACCCTGTTATGGTCTTGGCCTTCACAACATCCTCTGTCAAGGAGTTCCACAGGTTGACTGTGCATTGTGTGAAAAAATTCTTCCTTTTATTTGTTTTAAACCTGCTGCTTATTAATTTCATTTGGTGACCCCTAGTTCTTGTGTTATGAGAAGTAGTACACAACACTTCTTTATCTACTTTCTCTACACCAGTCATGATTTTAAAGATCTCAATCATATCTCCCCTTAGCCATCTCTTTTCCGAGCTGAAAAGTCCCAGTCTTATTAATCTCTCCTCATATGGAAGCCGTTCCATACCCCTAATAATTTTTGTTGCCATTTTCTGAACCTTTTCCAATTCCAATATATCTTTTTTGAGATGGGGCAACCACATCTGCACACAGTATTTAAGATGTGGGCCTACCATGGATTTATAGAGCGGCAACATGATATTTTCTGTCCTATTATCTATCCCTTTCTTAATTATTCCCAGCATTCTGTTTGCTTTTTTGACTGCCACTGCACACTGAGTGGATGTTTTCAGAGAACTATCCACAATGTCTGAGAGATCTCTTTCTTGAGTCATAACAACTAATTTAGACCCCATCATTTTATATGTATAGTTGGGATTATGCCATTTTGTTGCCCATTCACCCAGTTTTGAGAGATCCTTTTGTAGCTCTTCGCAGTCTGCCTGGGTCTTAACTATCTTTAGTAATTTTGTATCATCTGCAAATTTTGCCACCTCACTGTTCACCCCTTTTTCCAGATCATTTATGAATATGTTGAATAGGACTGGTCCCCTGGGGGACACCATTTACCTCTCTCCATTCTGATAATGGACCATTTATACCTACCCTTTGTTTCCTATCTTTTAATCAGTTACCAATCCATGAGAGCACCTTCCCTCTTATCCCGTGGCAGCTTACTTTGCATAAGAGCCTTTGGTGAGGGACCTTGTCAAAGGCTTTCTGAAAATCTAAGTATACTATATCCATTGGATCCCCTTGGTCCACATGCTTATGGACCCCATCAAAAAATTCTAGTCGATTGGTGAGGCTTGATTTCCCTGTACTACAACCATGTTGACTCTTCCTCAACAAATTATGTTCATCTATGTGTCTGATAATATTGTTCTTTATTATAGTTTCAACCAGTTTGCTCGGTACTGAAGTCAGGCTTACAGGCCTGTAATTGCCAGGATCACCTTTGGAGCCCTTTTTAAAAATTGGCATCACATTAGCTATCCTTCAGTCATCTGGTACAGAAGCTGATTTAAATGAAAGGGTTACAGACTACAGTTAGTTGTTCTGCAATTTCACATTTGAGTTCCTTCAGAACTCTTGGTCCTGGTGACTTATTGCTCTTTAATTTATCAATTTGTTCCAAAACCTCCTCTAGTGATACCTCAATCTGGGACAGTTCCTCAGATCAGTCACTTAAAAAGAATGGCTCAGGTTTGGAAATCTCTCTCACATCCTCAGCCGTGAAGACCGATGCAAAGAATTCATTTAGTTTCTCCGCAATGACCTTATTGTCCTGCTTGATCGTCCAGTGGCCCCACTGGTTGTTTAGCAGGCTTCCTGCTTCTGATGTATTTAAAAAAAAATTTGCTATTACTTTTTGAGTCTTTAGCTAACCGTTCCTCATATTCTTTTTTGGCCTTCCTAATTGTATTTTTACACTTCATTTGCTAGTGTTTATGCTCCTTTCTATTTTCCTCACTAGGATTTAACTTCCACTTTTTAAAGGATGCCTTTTTGCCTCTCACTGCGTCTTTTACTTTGTTGTTTAGCCATGGTGGCTCTTTTTTGGTTCTCTTACTATGTTTTTTAATTTGGGGTATACATCTAAGTTAAGCCTCTATTATGATGTCTTTAAAAAGTTTCCACGCAGCTTGCAGAGATTGCACTTTTGGCACTGTACCCTTTAATTTCTGTTTTAACTAACCTCCTCATTTTTGTGTAGTGAGTATAAACCTCAGGGCTGGATTCTGTAAGCACTCTGCACACACAACTCCTGCTGAGGCAGTTCAGTGATTAGGTCCCACAGAGTGCAACCCTGAGTTTTGGCTACAAGACTTTGAGCTGAGTTCTGTTGGGAAGAGGAACCTTCATCTAATGAAAAGAAAGAGGGTCATTTTTACATTATTACATTAAAAAAAGGAAAATAAGATTTAATGTAAATGATAATGGCCTCATAAACGATAATGCTTTCTAGTGCATGTCATGGGTAGATTTCTTAGTACCAGAAGGTATACCAGTAATTAGGTGTAATGAGATAAAAAGAAAGAAAGAAAATTTAGGCCGAATATCTGAATAGGATTTCTGATCCCTTAAACAATTATTTTTTAAACTTTTAAGTTTGGCACTACTGTTAAACTGATCCAATGTATTTCCCTGGTCTCTGTGTACTTGTAAGTGAAAGATGGAGCCAACTTCTCAACCAGAAAAATGAAAAAGTAAGTCTGGAAGAGAAGTGAAGCAACAAGCCTCAAGTCTCCTCTCACTGCAAAATCAACACAGCCAAAAGCAAACACACACCTATCTCTCTGGGATTTGGCCAGGCAATCAGCTGATGTGAAGAAAGAGTAGAGAACAGGGTGTCAGTGAACTCAGACATAAGCATGTCTGCATCCAGAAAGGAATCTTCCTCCATAGGGACCGGGGTTTCTCTGCCATATCTACTCTGATGCCAGAGAACCACGTCATCATCCTGACAAAGAGGAAAGAAAAATAAGCCTGGTTATATGAAGCTGCCAGTCACATGCAGTTATTATGGCACCAAACAGACAAAGCTAATTATTTTTCACATTTTAATAAAGAGGAACATTCTACAGAAGTCATCAAAATGCATCAGATCAACTTGTTAGCATCCTGCCTCCAGTCACATGGAACAGAGCAACAGTCAATCTAGTCTGGTATTCTACCCTCTGCCACATCAGCTCAGACCAACAGTTCATCTACTCTGGCTACTTTTATATACCAAACAGACCGATGGTTCATCTAGAGTGGCATCCCATTTCTGCGTGTACCGGAATAGGCCACTTGTATATCTAGTCCAATATCTTGCCTCCAGCAATGTCACAAACCAGATGTTTTGGAAGTTAGCATAAAACCTCTGTGAAATATATCACTGCACAACACTAGACTCTGTGGGGAAATATCTTCCCAATTCCAGCTGATGATTAGAACTGCATAAAACCAAAGTGGCTTTGGAAATACTTTTTAGTTTTTTTGGGTATAAGTGGGATTTTGCATCCAGAATTTCACTGATTTTTGGGTTTGAATGAACCCTAACAAACACAAAGCAAAACTCAATTGAAACTGGTGAAGTTTCCAGCCAGAACCATGACATCCTGAGGTTTGTCTAAATCTTAGCCAGGTTTGCTGAATGGTTTGTGAACCTGGGGATTGTTCTGGGCATATAATGAAGAATGAATCCAGGCTGGGTTTACATTTAGTTACAGAAGGTCTGAAATGCTCTCTTTGGCATAAACTGATCACCAAGAAGGCTCCATCACACAACTGTTTTTTGTCCCAGGTATTTGAAACACAGATGCTTTTATACATCTCAACATCTAGCCCCCCCCCCCCCTTTTTTTTTTTTTTGAAGCTTACCAAACTACTTGGCTATAATAGCACAGAAAAGGGACTCATTTGGTTCTGCTATGTATTTTTCTACTTGTAGCACACACATCCTTTCCCGATTCCACAAGGCAGGCTATGTTGCCAGTTATAACTCAATAACAAGCTGTCATGTGACCAACTGCAAAGAGGTGGCCCTGATTGGCCAGCTGGCCTGCACACTCTCATTTCTTATGCCATAGCACTCTAGACCAAGACTTCCACCCAATCTGATTTAAGCTGGGGAAAGCTGTACTGCTCTCTATTATACAATTTATTCTAAGCAAAATAAGGTGCCCCCTCTTCATAATAAACATTAAAGCTAAGTGTGTGGCTTTAGGTTTTAATCACTGCAAGCTGTCATGCTAGTACACCTTTGCTACTTATCACAACTTCAATACACAGAGATGCTGCTACTGCCTCCACAAAAATTACTTACCCGCACCAAGCTTGAAAGGTCTTCCTCTTTGTGTTTCTGTAACTGCAGAGAAAGAATATTTTAAAAAGTAAAATTAGCGCCTGTACTTCCCAAAGGACCTGTTTCTGCAACCCCCTACTCATGTGATTAGTCCTTACTCACGCAAGTAATTTTCTAGCCCCCAGCGGACCAATCATGAGTAGAGACTATTCACAGGACATGGGGTTGCCGGACTGGACCCAGTGTATCAATTTATTCTTATGATGTATCAGCGGACCCAATGTTTATACTGGTATAACTAAATTTCCAACATTTTTGCATGGGTTAGTAAAAGTTACATCCGAAGTCCAACTATTAAATCAAAAAGCAATTATTCCAGTCAAAATACTTTCACAGCTGCAAACAAACAGACCCTTTTCTTGAAGTATGTTCTCCACTTGTGATATTCCCTGATGACTATTTCGATTCTTCGTTTCCAATATTTCCCTTCTGTTGCAATGGCCTGACAACAAACAAAATACATGAGGAAATATACACAAACATTAAATAGTCACACACAGTTTTCAGGCAGACTGAAGCCATAAGGTGAGTACATTAATTCTGTTTGACCCCATAACCCAGCTGACACAATGTGCTTAAATCCAGCTACTGTAGAGCAACCCAGGATCCATTTAATCTTCCCCACATATAATAAAAAGTGATGATGTTCGATAATAGTACCAATATGTCATTACTTGGATCACCTGTAACCAATTGCAAAGACAGTATAGTACAAAAGGAAAAATAAAAGTTATGTTTCAGAAACTGTTTTTAAGATACTATTCATGTTAACACAGCCATGCAAAAGCATAATGAAAATTCATCAGCCAAGATACAAAATCTATAGGCTTACCTGTCACCATGACAACTATGAAATAAAATGTACTCACTGGAAAACAAAAACAAAAAACAAACTCCTCGCCTGGAGTGAGTGGGAAAATAGGCAAGTATCAACATACACATACATCCAACGACTGTGAAGGAATGACACAAAACAATAAAAGCCAAGTAACAAAGCTCTGGGAGAAACGTCACTCTTCAAGCCATATGTAGTGCAGTGGTACCCCAGTGACAACAATGGGATCAGAATGTGGGGCTTTAACATGCCACAAGTACTGTAAAACCAAGGACAACAGGGCAAGTTCACAAGAACTGAGGTAGACTTAACTCCACCTAGTCTGATTGGATTGTGCCTCAACCTAAAGGGTTAGCCTAACTTTGCTTTTCAAAAATTTCAGATACTAGGAAGTTTCATGTATGCTTTTGAAGCCCATTTCTGCTGCTGCTTCTGCTCTGTAGGTTCAACAGAGGGTTTATGCATTTTGAGTCCAATCTAAGGTTACGCAGTACATGAGAGAACCAAAAACTTTGATATGTCCTGGGCCTCACAGGACAGCAGCCAGAGGGCTGCAAATAGTTTGCATATAATAAAATACAATAAAAGAAAAGGAAAATGCACAGACCTACCGCACTCAGTTGTGGTTACAGTTTACAAGACAGGGTTAGAAATTGCTTGTTAGTTTGTATTCAGGTGAGCAAAGAAAATTAAAAAACGATGTTGAAAAAGCTTTTATAAAGCCACTCAGCTTGATCCTACAGGGTAGTCTGCCCTCACCTCCCACTGACTTCTGCAACCTCCAGAAATGGGCTCTTTGAGAGGAAAAGTAAAACAGGCTCTGAGGTGTAGGAATCATGGGCTCTTCAGGCTGCACCTTTGTGCCTTAGATTTGTCAAACTGGAGGGCAGTCATGGGCTGCATAGTAGGACTCCAGGGACTGTTAAGTCACCCTTGGGCTGCACCTTGATCTTTCCTATACAGGTAGATTTATAACATCTGGCTCAACAGCAGCCATATAGTACACATGTTGATATTTTTCACTATGGAGAGGACACCAAAGCAGAGCCTTCACATCTAAACGGAGGTAGGAGAGATAGAGAGATAATCAAATCCACAGCTCAAGTTTTACATACTTCAGGCCGCCGATGTTCCTCTACATCAATAGAGCCATCTAGTGGAGTCACAAAATGGCACACTGGGTTCTTGCGTTTCTCCAGGTCTGAAACAGAAATGAAAATATGACAGTTGGGTACACACATGCTATTCAGGGATCCCTTCTCCACCTCGGAGGCAGGATTTTAACAAGGTTCTTCTCAGAGTCCCCTCCAACACACTACTGGGGAATAGGCCATTTCAGACTGCACCTGACTTCAAGTGGTTCAATGCCCCGAAGCAGTGTTGAACACCATGGGGATGGTTTGGTCATGGGGTGGAAGTTCAGGACTGTCCTCTACAGGGATTTAGGCCACCAGCAGATTGCTTGGGTTTCTCCATCATAACGGGGCTTGTGATTTCATCTCCTGTCCATTCAGGCCCTTATATGCATGGCCAGATGCAAGGCCAGATTCAAACATTTTGTGGTTGCATGCAATCACGTTTACCATAAAAGCAACTTACACTGCATATACCATGCCCTCCAGATGGCATTGTTGAGACGAATTTTATCCCTCCACTGAAGTTTTAAACCTTTAAAATTCTTCCATTTTGGTGAAACCAACTTCCCACTGAAATAAAAAAAACCCAAACAAAAAAAATCAGTGATTTTTTTAAAAAGCTAATAAAAGTAGCTAATAAAAGTGCCAGGCTGACAGTTCTGGAGACTACAGTGAAATGAAGCTCAGGCAATGATAGAGCAAGCTTCTGCCATGCACCACCCTAACAACGTACCTCCCTCCTGGCCTAAACGTCTAGAGGTGATAGGGAAGTTCTGTCTTCAAGGCTCTTCTAGTCCTTTGCTACTAGCTCTGGGGATGTGTTTTGTGATGTGGATACCCGTCACTCTGGAATTTCACTGGGACCACAACTCATTTCACCCAAACACACTTTTCTTACCTACTACAGTTCCCCTGAACCCAAATACATCACCTCCCACCAACCCCAGGAATGAGACCACCCAAAGTCATGTCTAAAACCTGGCACTTAGCAGGCTTTTGGTTTTGTCTATCTTGGATGTTGAGGGGCTGTACTGAGACAGTACACATTCATACTTGCAGCTCCAGATCACCTTCTAGGACAACAACATTCAAAAGACAACATGACAATATTAACTCTACTCTACCCCAGCAGAGTTGTCGCCCTTAAACTTTGCAATGCTGCATTTAATAAACTAGATCTAGTTACAAAAGCAAAAGGTTTAGTGACAACCACAGTACTATCAAAGGTGGGATGCCCATAAAAAAAAGCAGCTCATATGTGAAGGGTTTTCTTGGAAATGAGAAAGGATAGAGAAACAGAGACACTGATAATGCTTAGCACTGTTATAAACACTTAATAAATGTTAGCTACCTAACACTCAGAACACCTCTATGCAGTATTAGCCTCATATTACAGGTGGAGCAGACAAGGTTAGACACACTTTTATCTAGTCAGTTTCAAGCCAACGTTTTTTCACGGTTTTATAGTCACACATTTTCCTGTTTTTAAGTGTTTCCTGTCCCCTATTGTTGTGCGTTGTCAGAGCTGGGACTACAACTCAGGAATGCCCAATTCCCAGTCCTGTACCTGTCCATCCCCATCCCCTCAGTTATTTTTAATGAAGCCAAGTAGTACCATATATGAGCAAACCTATATGGGGCTTAGAGTAAGCATTTCCCAATGGCCACTGCAATACAGAAGCTCAGAAAGCTCCACACCTGCCAAAGGAAGACATTAAATCACTGCTGTTTTGGGTTATTAAGCTCGCCTTTGTTTCTCTTTTTAGGGCTTCATCTGACATTATCAACCAGGTAATCTCATGACTCCTACAGTGGCAATCAAACAGATACCAGATCTCAGCTAAACTGTCAGGGAAGGAACAGCCAACCAGCCACCTTTCAATTCTGGCTTCTATTGTATGCTGCCAGTTGTATCTATATTTTAACCATTAGGTTCTATGCTAGCATATAAAGGTTTTTCTCTGCTTCCTATCTTCATTTTTTAAAAAAACCTGTCTAGTGTTTTGTACTATACATGCAATGAACCAGGTGCAGAGACCAGATAACAAGTACACTAAAAGGATTAAGTTGATTCCATAATTAGAGAACTGCATGGTCATTGCACTTAACAGTTCCCAAGTGACCCCATATGTTGTACTCTGAACCCTCCATATTTGAAAATGAGCAAGTTTACTATAGTTTTGTTTATGCTAAAATTCCCTGAACCTGATGCAGGCTTTGAGATTTGGGGAGGTTACTTTTAAACAACAGAAACCACAAATACATTTATTTCAGCAAATAAAACAAAGCTGATTTCCATGAGGTACTCAAGGCTCTCTGAGTTGAGTTCAGATTTTAGAAACATTCCAAGGGTAGTTATATGAGTTTCAGGGATTAGCAAATAATGAAGATGAATGTGATTGTATATGGAGACCTTTCCTGTTCTATGATAATACAGTATATATTTTACTCAGACTCTTAACCTATTTTATTTATCTAAGGTTCTTATATGGCATCTATTGCTATATTACCTGAGCGCCCCCATAGTATCTTTACTTTATTCTCCACTGAATTCTACAGTAAATCCTTGCTGCCATGCTCAGCTTTTGCTGAGACACATGAATCTCTGCAGATCTACTATGCTTAATGCTTAAGACGACATTTCTTCAGCACCATCACTGGAAGCAACAAGCATGGCACCCATCAATTGCTGTTTCCTTGCCATTCTCAGAAATGGGGTGTGCTAAGAGATACATTTCAATGCTACAGGAACTTTATGACTGACAGAGGAGCCTGCAAATTAAGAATTATCCCATATCACATTGGGGAAGTGCTGCAAAATCCATTCCTGGTGCCACCAAGTTCTGGGTTTAGAGCAGACAGAGGCAACCCATCCATTTTAGGATCTCCTCTGTTTGTTTAGTGTCCTCCTTTCTATCTTTTCACAGTCTCATCAATTTTAGTATGAGCCTTTGCTCTGTGGCACCTGCTGTGTGCAACAGCTTCCCCCATATCTCTTCACTTCATCAAGTCTTCATTTCCTTTCAAATCTCAGATGAAAACATATCTTTTTTCCTCTTACTTGTGTCTCAATTTTCTCTCTCTTCACTATTCTAACACATCACTCTCCTGTAATCCTTGACTTTGCCAGAGTCCCTACAAAATAAGTCGGACTAGAAAATATGCCTATCCAATATCAATCTCTAGAGTAACATGGATTTTCAAGAGACAATGGTTGCATAGTTTAATAAACTAAATCCTAACTGGCAGAACTCTCTTATTTAACTTATCGGTACCCAAAATAAGTCTAATCGCTAATAAAAAGTCAAAAGGACACATGCATTTTTGCAGACAATCCAATATAATTATAATGTATTTCTTGTATCCAGTTTAAATCTTCTTCAAAGAGTGATTTAAGACTAGAATTAAGATAGAAAATGTTAACCAATTTATGTAATTTACATTTTATTTACTGTATTTTTATAAGTGCATTAAAGTCCAGTCAAAGACGAAAGAGATTAATAATTCATCCTCCTTTTAGGACAATGATTATTATTATTTCTAGTTCTTTCAGTGCATTCCATGGGAGCAAAGTTCAAGTCCAGTGTTAGGTCATAAGTGAAATGAGTTTGATAACCTCAGTTTCATACAGCAGACAGGAATCACCATGAAGATGTCAACTATATTTACAACCTGATCCAAACCCCCATAAAGTAAATGGAAAGGCTCCATTTACTTCTGGGGAGATTGGATGAGGCCTCTAATGATCATTTCAGCCTAACTGGTCATCTCTATTCTGGAACACTAAAGGAGAGAGTGGTTTCACCAACTCAAAACATAGTGTTTGAGAGCAGTTCCCTAACTGTAACTGACCTTTGGATTTTGAAAACCCAAAAAAACCCAAAAAAGGAGTTTCTGCTCCTGCTGGCCTATTAACCTTCAAGAACACTAATATTCTCGAAGCAAATAAATGTAACAAACAAATGCAGATAAACTTGCCTACCGATTACACAGTCAAAACATGAACTTCAGTGGAAGATGCCGAAGGCCTTCAGGAATTCAACAGTCACTGGTTCAATTCCATGTGAGAACTTTTCCCAAACAGGGAATAAGCAAAGTTTCCAAAAATGGGAGAAGAGACCTGGATGAAATCTACTGCAACACAAACTGCAACAGTCACCAGAACAGTGACTGACACACTGGCCAGCAAATGGCTTGAGTCTATGAAGGTGTTGCTACTTCTAGAAGAAAAACTGATCAGGTACCAATTGAGATGACAAGAGTAAAAAAAGATTTTCAGGAAAGATACACATAATCTCTCCTTAATGTTTTGTAGTTCTTAGTCCCTGATAAAAGAGCAAACTGTGCTATGGGGTCTCGGTGGTTCAGAGGCATGATGATGGTGGAATATGGAACTTTTAACCTCTTGATCCCGATATTAAATCCACCCCAGGTCAGGAGTTACTGATGTGAAATAAATTCAATGGTTTTAATTCAGTATGTAGTGGACAAGTGTTCACATAACAAAATCAAATCACAGAACCATAGAAATGTAGGGAAGGAAGGGACCTCGAGAAGTCATCTAGTCCAGCCCACAGCTCTGTGGCAGGACCAAGTAAACCGAGATCATCCCTGACACGTTTGTCCAACTTGTTTTTAAAAGCTTTCAACGACAAGGATTCCACGAGCTCCCTTGGAAGACTATTCCAGTGCTTAACGACCCTTATAGTTAGAAAGTTTTTCCTAATATCTAACCTAACTCACCCCTGCTGCAGATTAAGCCCAACACTTCTTGTCTTACCTCCAGTGGACCTGGAGAACAACTGATCCCCATCCTCTTTATAGAAGCCCTTAACGTCCTGGAACACTTATCAGGTACTCCCGGCAGCCTTCTTTTCTCACGACTACACATGCCCAGTTCTTTTTTAACCTTTCCTCAAAGATAGGGTTTTCTAAAACTTTTATCATTTTTGTTGCTGTTCTCTGCACTCTCTCCAATTTGTCCACATCTTTCCTAAATTGTGCCCAGAATTGGACACGGTACTCCAACTGGGGCCTCACTAGTAGCGAGTATAGTGGGACAATTACCTCCTGTGTCTTACATGCAACACTCCTATTAATACAACCCAGAATTATGCTAGTCTTTTTTGCAGATGCATCACGTTGTTGACTCATACTCAGTTTGTGGTCCACTATAATCCCCAGATCCTTTTCAGCAGTACTACCAGCGAGACAGTTATTCCCCATTTTGTAGTTGTGCATTTTCTTTTTTCTTCGTAAGTGAAGTACTTTGCACTTGTCTTTATTGAATTCCATCCTGTTGAATTCAGACCAAATGTCCAATTTGTCATGGTCATTTTGAATTTTAAATCTGTCCTCCCAAGTGCTTGCTAGCCCTTCCAGCTTGGTGTCATCTGCAAATTTTATAAGCATACTCTCCACTCCATTATCCAAGTCATTAATGAAAATATTGACTACTCCTGGACTCAGGACTGCCCCTTGTGGGACTCCACTAGAGACGCCCACCCAATTTGGCAGCAACCCATGCCACAAGAGATCCCTTTTTGGCCATCAAGATTGAATTCCCATCT